ATTATTATATATATATATATATATATATATATATATATAAATTAAAACAATTTTTACAACATTTTTTACAAATTTTTATGAACTTGTCCACACCTCCTACAATAATATACTACTCATTTCATTACAGATCATCTTTCTTTAAATTATTTTTTATTTATTGCTTTTTTATTTATTTTATATAGTTTAACCACATTCTTATTCTTTAAATAGTTTGATAACTCACCATGAATGTTCCGCATTAAAACCAGTCTGCAAATTAACAATATTTAATAATTATTTACAAATTGTATTATATTATTTTGAAACTATATTACAATATAATGTTACTTACTCTACCGTTACTGCCTATACACAAAGTGAAGGATTTATCGAACCATCTATCATATCCTTTACCATGCAATAAAATTCGACCATACTGATCTAATTTGTCTGGGTCTTCCTAGTAACATATAAAAGTTATAAATGTGATACACGTTTACAAACAAAACATACAATTTTTACTTACTGGATCATATATATATGGTATATCATCCAATGCAACTATAAATGCTGCTTTTTCAATGAGATCTAAAGATGCTTTATTTATTCCTTTTGAGAAAAATTCTTCTCTAGCTATTGCCCAAGTAGTTCTTTCACCAGCTGTTAAAGCAGCCAATTTTTCTTCACCTAGTGATGGTTCTGATTTATCATCTAAAATTTGTTGCATTTGTCTGAAACAAGATATAATATATAGTTATAAATATTTTACTGACTTTATAAACATTTATATTTTATAAATATTTTAAATATTTTAAATATTGATTTGTAAATATTTTAATGATATATCCAATGACTTATTTATAATAAAAATAATATTATTACTAAGCAAATAAATACTTTATTGCTAAGTATACAAATATTTTTACTACATAATTTTGCTTAATTTTTGCTTTTAAATTTAGTATGCATTCTTCTAAGCATCTTTCCAAGTTATAGAGAATATTTGAAAGAAAAAAATCAAAAAATTTTAATAAACACGAGTTTATTTTATGTTTGTAAGCAAACAGAGTTACCACACTAAAATCGTAATATTATCATAGTCTGATGAGATCATTTCTATCAGATAGTTATAATTTTTAACATGTTTTTCATAGTTGCAAAAAAACTTACTAAAATATAAGATAATAACATAATTTTTATAAGATAAAAACATAATTTTTATGCATTTTTAAATTACTTTAAATAACTAAAGACATAAAATCTGAATAGAAATTTGTTTTATCTATTATTTTAAATATTATATATTTTTGTCTATGTATTGTATTAAATTATAATTTCTGCAACTTCCAATTTTCTATAAATCCGCAGTTTATTAATGAAATATAACAAACTGTGTATCTTTAATTTTGTGATATATCACTGTTTCACTTCATTATCTTAAATATAAAGTTTCAAGTCATTATCTTAAATATAATTTAAGAAAATATTATCTTAAATATAATTTAAGAAAATATTATCTTAAATATAATTTTTTCGTATACTGAAACATTAAATGAAAATAGTGAGGATATAGCTTAGTTTTTAATGTAGTATAATTCGAAGTATAAGACGAATGTAACTCTACAGAATTATATAAAAAAATTCAACAGTTAAAAAATATGTAGCATTTTTAAATATTAATATAGTATAAATAAACTGATATTTTTCTTAATTTTTATTGAAATACATGAAATTTAGTATGAAAAAAAGTGATTATGCAGTTTAGTATCAGAAAGATTCCATTTGCCGAACACTTTTATCTTTCTATTAGTTCGGATATTGAAGAGTCTACTATAATGGATCAATTTAATATTCTTCTATATAAAGTTAACAATCATAAGTTTTTTGGTGTTTATAGTGCAAAATTTGAGAAAAAATATTTTTGCTAAAAGAAAAAATAAAGATAATGTTATTACATGGCAATGAATGTTTATCTTATACAGGGTAGTCCATTTAAGTAGCCACCTAAATATCTTTTTATTATGATGATGCAAAAAATATTTTTTATTTTTATTTTTTACCTAACATTAATGGTATTCAAAAGATTAATAACTAGTAAAAATATTTTTTTAAGATCATTTTTTTCAAAGACTTTTTAAGATCACTGATATTTTTTTCATAAATATATTTTTTTAATTTTCATAAATTAAATAGTATTATATTAATATTTATATTAATAATATTATTTATATTAATATTATTTATATTTATATTAATATTATTTATATTTATATTAATATTATATATATTAATAAATATTAAGTAATTTTCATAAATATATGTTTTTTAATTAAATATATTTTTTTTATTGCATCGTGTATCTGGTAAAAAAATATGTTCAGATATGTAAAGAATATGATTTTGAAAATTTAAGTTTTACTTGTAAATTTAGCGGGATCACAGGCATAATTCGAAAAGATATTTCGATAGCCTCACTTAAATGGATCAGCCTGTATAAATGAATATATGAATGTTTTGTATTGAAAATACAAAATAGGCTGTAAGAGCAAGAAAAACTATAAAGATGATGTATAATTGGTGAAAATTTGTTTTACTATCTTAAAAAGTTATCGTAAAAATATTAAAAAAAAAAAAACAATTTTACTTTAAAAAATTATTTTAACTTTGAAAAATTATTTACTTGTTATTGTACAATATATCTCCAAATAACTTTATAAGACCATTCTTTTATTAAAATCGTAATATTAAAATTAAAAATATTTTACCGTATTTTGGTAAAACATATTCTGTACGTAAAATTATATACTTTTTAAATATTTTTATTATATTTGTCCTAATAATTTTAATTTAATTTAATTTAATTTAATTTAATTATAATTTTGGTTTTAATAATAACTGATTATGAAAAAAATACATTTAAAATTATTTAAAATCACATAGCACCACACTGAAATGATATTGGAACATTTTATCAAATAATAATCATGATACCGTGACAAACGATCAATTTTTTTCCCAGCTTCATAGTGAATTTTTTTTATATAATTACTTCAAATGTCCAAATTGTTTTACATATTATAAACTATATTTTAATTTATTGAGATTGCATGACTAGATATGAATTTGGGACAAAAATTAAAAAATTTCATTTGAAAATGTTATGCCACGATGAAGTATTATTGAAATGTATTGTAAATATTATAAACCATAGTTATTATATCGAGATAGCTTTATTTTTTATTAATATTCTTTTTTCAGAGTATGTCTATCTTATTAATGTGCTTATTTTGTTTTTTAAATATTTAACATTTTAATATTTTAATTTTTGCGAAATTATAATTTTTTTTACTCTACTATACAGAAAAATCTAAAAACAAATACATGATTTTTATAATTATAATACTTATAATTTAAAAAATAAGTTTAAAATTATAAAACTGTAAAATTGTAAAATTACAAAAATATTTTGAATAAAAGATAATTTTTAGTTTCTAACAATTTTTTTGTTTTTGTTTTTTTTATAATAATTTTTGTTTTTTTTATAATAAAAGCAATTTGTATTATGTATTTAATTGTATTTGATTGTATTTAATTATATAAAAATTATGTAAATAAAAATTTGTAAGAAAATAATCTTATATCTTATTACAGTGAAATTAAAATATTTTTAAATGTACTATAACTAAATAAAAAAGAAAATATATAAAATTATATTTGACTTACATTTCAATTTCACAAGGTTGGAGGATCCTATTTTTATGATAAATAAGAACTTTGAAATATTTTCCCTTGTGATATACAACAATATGTTTAGAATCCTGATAGTGTATAATTTTGTCCGTTTCACGTCCTGGTATCCTTATCGTATTAAATAATCTTTCATATTGCCATGAACAGAGAGGTACCAAACCTTGAATTAATATCTACAAGCAAATATAAGTTTGAGTTTCAAATATGAGAACTAATAAACTCTTACCAAACTGTATTTAAATATTGAAATATCTGAATGACAAAGCAAAGGGTATTTTATTTTAAATTATATATTATATACCAATAGAAAACAAATTATAATAAATAGTCAGTAGAAAATAAATCATAATAAATTAAGCTTACTATTAATTTAAAATATAATTTACTCTGTAATCAAAAAATAGTTAATTAGAAATAGAAAAAGATATTTTACCTACCGGTTCTAATTCTTGACGTTCAATGAGTCGTCGATACTGTAGACACGAATAAATTGCACTTGCAGCACGAGCAACTTGCACATGAGAAGGGTACATAAGAATAGCATCGATACCATAAAAGTTTGAGTTCACCATTATAGGAGATCGTCCACGTAAATAAACATATTCTTCCCACCAATCGGATACATAATTTGTAGCCCACCAAGATTTTAAAATTAAATATCGTTGAAGTTTTACACCAATGCCTTTTTGAAATTCATTTGCCAATGTCTCCATTCGGGAATAGTTTTCATCATCGAGCAATGGTCGAACACTTCGTAAATACTAATTACACACACATACATATATATATAATTAATATTACAATTAATTACATCATAATAATAAATAAATAAAAATATAATAAAAAATTATAAACAATAAAATATTATAAATATAAAACTCAATTTAATATAATAGAAACTATCAAAGACCATCTTCTATTCCATAAAAAGTGAGTAGTTATTTACAACTTATATGAAATATTCTATAATCTAACCCGTTTCATTGTATCTTCCACCAAGGGTAGTGGTAGTCGTGGCAATGATCCTTGAAAACTATACAGCATTGGTTTGTGCCATCCAAAGAACAATTTCACTAATGTGCTCCAAACCTTAGAAATTCTCGAAGCACTAGCACCTTTTTCTCTCGATTCATACATCCATCCTTTGTACATAAGTAATAACTTAAAAGTATACCGCAGTATATATATTACTACCAACCACAAAAACAATCCAACTATAAAAGAACCTGCTAAGTGTGCCAATACTGAAGATCTATAAAAACATCAGCAATTTTAATATAATTCTATCAATAAATAAAATGCTATTAACACAGAAATCATATTTAAAAAAAAAATAATTAAATTTACCCTGGAAGATATGGTGCAGCTTTCCCAACAAGATCATAAGGTACTTTGTAGCCAGCAAAATGTATTGCAGTTACCACAGCTATGGTAAACCATAAACTTTCTAAAGAGGCAGGATATACACCACTTCTTAAATTATTCTGAAATTCATTTAATTATCTCGTTAATTCGTTAACTTAACTAGAATTAACTTACTTACATTTTTGTTAAATTTTTATATTAAATAACTTTTACCATATAAAAAAAGTAAATTTTATAATTTAGATAAAGCTTAATTTGATAATAATTATATTTTAGAGATAATAATGTAATAATTTTAATAGTAATTTAATTTAAGTAAATTAAAATATAATTCTTATAAATATACTATAATTCTTATAATTCTTATAAATTAATATTTATTTACTTACAACAAATCTAAAAAATCTTTTCTTCCAAGAACGAATACCTGATTGCCATACCAAATGTAAAACTTCTCTATCAAAATTAACATCCCATCCTTCATGAGTAATGGAAAAACTAAATGCTACAGCTGAATGTGCTTCCGCCATATCATCTGTTGTTTGTTATAACTGAAATAAATATCAAACAAATTATAGTAATAATAATAACAAAAATTAATATTAAAAAGTGGTAAATCTTCCTATAGTTTTAATTTAATTTTCATAATGTATATACCTTTCATTTCAAGTTTCAATTTGTATTTGAATCTGTTTTATTGAATCTTTATAATTTTTCCGATAAAAATATAATTCTTCTAATAAAAATTTATTTTTGAATACAAATTACATAAATGTTATCAAAATTGTTTAACTTTTTATAATTGAAATATGCATATATAGGATGTTCTATGTAATGCAATGCACAATTTTTCAGCCATTTATAGTCAGTTGACAAAAAAAAAAAAAAAAAGAAAATTCATCAATATTAAATAATATCAGTACAACAAATAACAATAATTTATTAGAATTAGAATTTTAGAAACGTTGATTCTGATAAATACTAATACTGATAAATTTTCTTTGTCAGACGATC